CAGGATGGACGGAGAAGTGGTGCCTCGATGCGCACCCGGGATCCGAACCTGGGCCACCAGCATTGCAGTGCGCGCACTTAACCACCAAACCACAGGGCCGGCCCGCACTTTTTCAGCTTTTTTTGTCTTCTTTTTCCTGCTGTTGAACGAGTCTAATATCCTCTGTCTTTACTGGCTCTGGAGTTTCCTTTAATTTCGGTTGTAATTGCTTGTTCCAGTAATCCTTTGCATGCTGAATAAGGTGGTGTTTTTCAGTAGCTGGAGGTATAATAGCCCCCTCTGCTGCCAAGTACTTAAATATGATTTCTCGCTGGACTTTTTACTCCTCAGAAGTTCTACACTTTGACTGTACACTAGTGTTGCACGAATGGCATCTTGGCAGTCCTCAGGCTGCACCAGGTAGTTGGTGATGGTGTCACACAGGGCCATGATCTCGTCCAGCAGGCCGAGCAGGTTACGACAGCCCTCCATCTCTGGGTATCTGAGCCCCAACATCTCGACCTCCAGGAAGTGTGGAGAGGGCGACACCAAAAAGGTTGCCCCTTCAGGCCCACCAGGCTGGCGCCTTGGCAACAGACACTGCTATATACCACATCTCCTTTATCCATTCATCTATCGATGGACACTTAGGTTTCTTCCACGTTTTGGCTATTGTAAATAATGCTGCAGAGAACATAGGGATGCATGTATTTTTTCAAATTTTTGTTTTCTTCAGATGTATACCCAGAAGTGGAATTGCTGGATTGTATGGTATTTCTATTTTTAATTTTTTGAGGAACCTCCATACTGTTTTCCATAGTGGCTGTGCCGATTTACCTTCTCACTAACAGTGTACTAGGGTTCTCTGTTTTCCGTATCCTCTCCAAAACTTATTTCTTGTTCTTTTTTTTTGTGAGGAAGAGTCGCCCTGAACTGACATGAGTTGACAATCGTCCTCTTTTTGTTTGAGGAAGAGTGGCCCTGAGCTAACGTCTTGGCCCCTCTTGTCTTTTTCATTTTATTTTATATTTTTTTATTTTTTGTGAGGAGGACTAGCCCTGAGCTAACATCCGATGCCAATCCTTCCCTTTTTTCTTAAGGAAGATTGGCCCTGGGCTAACATCTGTGCCCATCTTCCTCTACTTTATATGGGACGCCACCACAGCGTGGCTTGACAAGCGGTGTGTTGTTGCGTGCCCGGGATCTGAACCTGTGAACCCTGGGCTGCCGCAGTGGAGCGCGTGCACTTAACCGCTGCACCACCGGGCCAGCCCCAGCACCTCTTGTCTTTTTTTTTTTTCTGTGAGGAAGATCAGCCTTGATCTAACATCCATGCCAATCCTCCTCTTTTTGCTGAGGAAGACCGGCCCTGAGCTAACATCTATTGCCAATCCTCCTCCTTTTTTTTCCCTTTTTCTCCCAAAGCCCCAGTAGATAGTTGTATGTCATAGTTGCAGGTCATAGTTGCAAATCCTGCTAGTTGCTGTATGTGGGGCGCTGCCTCAGCATGGCCTGACAAGCGGTGTGTTGGTGCACGCCTGGGATCTGAACCCGGGCTGCCAGTAGCGGAGCGCGCGCACTTAACTGCTAAGCCACGGGGCCGGCCCCTCTTGTCTTTTTGATAACAGCCATTCTGACAGAGGTGAGGTTTATCTTTCGACTTGAGGTTGCTATTGTGCTCAGGAGAAGCAATGTTGGCAGAGCCAGAGTTGCTAAATTTGCCTTGCTTGCTGAACCAGCTCTTTTAGAGGACTGATAGGGCTCTGCTGTCTTCCATTTTTTTTTTTTGTGGTGAACAAGACTGGCCCTGAGCTAACATCTGTTGTCAATCCTCCTCTTTTTGCTTGAGGAAGAGTGGCCCTGAGCTAACATCTGTGCCCATCTTCCTCTACTTTATATGGGATCCTGCCACAGCATGGCTTGACGAGCGGTGTGTAGGTCCGCGTCAGGGATCCGAACCCGGGAACCTCAGGCCGCTGAAGCAGAGTGAGCAAACTTAACCACTATGCCACTGGGCCGGCACCCTGCTGTCTTCCTTTTAAGGCTGAATAATACTCCATTGTATGTACTTATCGTTGTTTATCCATTAATTAGTGGATGGGTACTTGGGTTGCTTATTTCGGTATTTTTGTCCTTATTTACTTTTTAAATATTTATACTTTCATATTTAGTCTCTTATTTTTGCAGGTACCGCTTAAATCTTAATCAAGATGAAATAAAACAAGACGTAGAGGAGTATCTGCCTTCATTTTCTAAATGGGCTGGAGATTTCATGCGTAAACATACTTCAGCTGACTTCCCGCAGATGCAGTTCTCTCTGTAAGAAACCTGTTTTGTTTATACGGTATTCCTATGTTTAGACCAGGATTCTGTTCTGTATGTTGCGTTAAAGCCTTGTAAAGGTCAAGTTATTACAACCAGCCTTTTTGTTTACTTATTTTATAAATTATACTCCTGAGTATCTTTCCAGGACAAAAAATAATCTAATGAATAGAAGATTCTATTTTCATTATAATAAAATCTTCTAATTCTTAGGTAGGTTGTTTTTTTTTTTTTTTTTTTGGGGAAGATCGGCCCTGAGCTAACATCTGCCAATCCTCCTCTTTTTGCTGAGGAAGACTGGCCCTGGGCTAACATCCATGCCCATCTTCCTCCACTTTGTATGGGACGCCGCCACAGCATGGCTTGACAATCGGTGCGTCAGTGTACGCCAGGGACCGGGATCCGAACTGGCGAACCCCGGGCCGCCACAGCGGAGCACGCACACTTAACCGCTTGTGCCACGGGGCCGGCCCCTGTAGGTATGTTTTTGAATAAAATAATCAATTTGTAAATATTTTGGGGGTCCTAATTTCATATGTATTTCTCTCTGTTACTATCATATATAGACTGTGTCATGGATTTGTGCTATATGCTTAAATACTGTGTTTAGCCATTTAATGCTATTTGGCATTTGGTTTGCTTTTTACTTTTTTTCCCCTTAAAGTAGCATTGATAAACATTTATAGGTAATACTTTTTTTCTTTTCTGTTATTCACCCATTCAGCAAATATTTATTGAATGCCTAATTTCTGGGAAGTAATATTCTAGGTGCTGGGATTATAGTAGGGGAAAAAAAAAGCCAGTGACTCCACGGAGCTTCTGTACTACTGAACAAGTAACGGGGTGCCAGATTGTGGTCCGTGCCATGTAGAATAATGGGGAGGGTAACAAGGAAAAGAGAGTTGGTGGTGGTGGTGATGGGACATATCATTTTCATAGAATGGTCGTGAAAGGCCTCTCTGTTAAGGTGGCAGTTAGTGGCAGCCTGAAAGAAATGAAGGAGGGAGCTATGCAGCTATCTCCAAGAAGAGCATTTCAGGCAAAAGCCCTGTGGGTGACGCACACCTGCCATTGTGGCTGTTGTGGAGTGAGCTGGGAAGGAGCAGAAGTGGCTCTCCTGGGGCCGGCCCAGGGATGTAGCAGTTAAGTGCACACGCCCCACTGCTGGCAGCCCGAGTTCGGATCCCGGGCTCGCACCTGAGGCACTGCTTGTCAAGCCATGCTGTGGCTGTGTCCCATATAAAGTGGAGGAAGATGGGCACAGATGTTAGACCAGGGCCAGTCTTCCTCAGCAAAAAGGAGGATTGGCAGATGTTAGCTCAGGGCCGATCTTCCCCACAAAAACAAAACAAAACACAAAAGAAGTGGCTCTCCTGGGGCCTTGTAAGCCACGTCAGGACTTTGACTGCTGTTCTGATTAGATGGGAAGCCACTGGAGAGTTTGTGCAGAGGGTTTTGATCTGATTTCCCTTTTTTTTAAACAGGCAACATTTTATTTTTCTTTAAATAGGCACAACTTCCATTTATATCAATATTCTTAACCCTTTCTCAATATTCTCAATATTTTATCTCATGACATTTTGTTATCTGAATAACTTTTTTTTTTTTAATAATTTTATTTATTTATTTATTTTCCCCCCAAAGCCCCAATAGATAGTTGTATGTCATAGCTGCACATCCTTCTAGTTGATGTATGTGGGACACGGCCTCAGCATGGCTGGAGAAGTGGTGCGTCGGTGCGCGCCCAGGATCCGAACCGGGGCCACCAGCAGCAGAGTGCGCACACTTAACTGCTAAGCCACGGGGCTGGCCCACTTGAGATTTTAAATTGTGGTGTACATCCATTTTCATTGTTGTTTTAAAAGATATTAGCTTTTCTTTTACTGTTTGTTTTAGCATTTTGTCTGCATGTATTTTCTTTTGGTTAAAATTTACTTGTTGGGCCGGCACCATGGCTCAGTGGTTAAGTGCGCACGCTCTGCTGCTGGCAGGCCGGGTTCGGATCCCGGGTGCACACTGACGCACCGCTTCTCTGGCCATGCTGAGGCCGTGTCCCACATACAGCAAGGATGTGCAGCTATGACATACAACTATCTACTGGGGCTTTGGGGGGAAAAAAATTTACTTGTTTCTGCAGTGATAAGCTGCATTTTCTCATAGACTCCTGGACTTACCTATTCAGCAAGCATGTATTACATGCTGTCTCTGTGCCCAGGATCATGCTAGTTACTGGTGTTACAGCGAGTCTACAGCCTTCCAAGAACTCGGTGCATTAGTGGTAGTTGAAAACATAGAAGTGGAGGGGTTGCTGAGAGGAAACATATGGGGCAACAGAAGGGGCATGGAACCCTGGGAGGTAACTGTGTATGAGGACAGAGGGAGAAAGTAGAATCCGTCGAAGGAGGCTTAGGGTGGACCAGCAAGAGACTGGGTAGCCTGGAAGAAGTGTGTCATAGAAGCCAAGGAAAAGGTGGGATTCAGAGTCATCTTTGACCTGAGACGAATTTTTGAGATCAAGTCCTAGATTTCAAATTAGGAAATTGAGGTCCAGAGAGGTGGTTTGACCTGAGACGAATTTTTGAGATCAAGTCCTAGATTTCAAATTAGGAAATTGAGGTCCAGAGAGGTGGTGTGACTTGTCCAGGTTTTACATGAAAAACCAGTGGGAGAGCTGAGCCTAGAATAAGGAATCTCTTGTTTCCAAGCCCAGTGTTCTCATCTTTATGTTTTGGTATAAGACTTTTCTTTGTTTCAGTTATTTCCGATGGAATCTTCTTAAGCTTTTTTTTTTTGTGTGTGAGGAGATCAACCCTGTGCTAACATCTGCCAATCCTCCTCTTTTTTTGCTGAGAAAGACTGGCCCTGGGCTAACATCCGTGCCCATCTTCGTCCACTTTATGTGGGATGCCGCCACAGCATGGCCTGCCAAGCAGTGCGTCAGTGCACGCCCGGGATCCAAACCGGCAAACCCTGGGCCACCGCAGCGGAGCGTGCGCGCTTAACCACTTGCGCCACCAGGCCAGCCCCGTGATGGAATCTTCTTTTTGTCTGTCTGTAAAGGAGGCACTCCTCCGTACTTAGCTTGCATCGTTTTCCCAGCAGCTTATAGCTAGTCTGTAAAAAATAAATAACTTGAGACTTTAAAGCAGAGGGTGAGACATTTAAAAGCCATTTAAAGAGGCAACCTTTGTCACCCATAAGTAATAAATGTATATTTTCATCATCTTCTTGATGCTATAGTCTCCATCAGATGGTTCTCAAAGGAGTTTTACAGCGTTATGTTGATTAAAATCATAGTAGTTAAGTTGAAATACTTGTTCCACAGATCTAGGTCTAAAATCATATTACTTCTTTTTCTAGGGGAATGAATTTTAGTAGCAATGTTAAAAATTTCATTACCTATCATCTTTTAAGTATACATGTGATACTTTATAAATTTTTTGCTTTATTTTATATAATATTTGAATACATATCATGATCAAATAACATTTGGTGAGAGAAAACAGATTAATATTTAAGAAATTTCAGGTAAGTGTGACTTCCCTGAATTCCTCTATTGTCTTTTTTGAAGGTTGCAGAAGTATACATATATTCCTGGAGATTATACTTGAAGCATCCTGAAACAGATTTAAGAAAAAAAATTGCTGAAGATAGTATTCTTTTTCTTAGAAAATATTCTCATTTGTTCAGAAATAGCTGCTGATCAAAAAAACGTGAAATTAGTAAACTGAAGTCAACTAAATCATGTATTCTAACAGCCAGAATTCTTATACTTTTTGAATCTTGATTTTTATATGATATATGTTTTATTACCAGAAAATTTATCCTTTTCATGTAAGATTTCCATTAGATTTAATATTTTATATGGCTTTGAGTCTAAATAGGATTAATAAATAAAAACTCTTAACTGACTTTTCTTCTACAGAATAACTTACTGCTCTGAAAATGAGTAAATCTTAGATAAGAGAAGTGTAAGTGGCTTTAAAAGTTATTTTCATCTCTTCCAATTGCTTCAACATTTACATATTCCTTTTTTTCTTCCTTCCTGTGCTCTTGGCTTATTTAACAGTTAAGATATTAAAATCAGAACCTCTTTTTTAATATGAAAAACAATGTTGAGTACTTAGTTTTAAATATTGATGGTGACAGAGATGGATCCATTTAATGATTAAGTGAAGAAAATAATGAGTAAGCGTAGGAGCTCATGACTCCTCTGAGGATTGTCAGGGGGGTGTAGGGATGATGTGTTGGATGTTCAAGCCCCACGCTGCATAGATAATGGAGAAAGACAGCTCATTCTTCTGCATTTTAATATGGTGTTACATGAAGGAACACATCCCTTGCTACCTAGAGTGCAACCACATGCAAGCTATTGTGTATTAATCTGTGTAATAATTGTATATCAGAATACTCAGATTGGTATTTTGGCTCCAGCAGTCCAAGTGGTGAGACTGTTGTAGTAATCTAGGCCTGAGGAAATAAAGGCCTGAGTTAGGAAGATTGTAATAGGAATGAACTGAAAGAGACAGATGATAAATATTAAGAAAATTTAAATTACATGAGTTACAGCCTACAAGACAGTGGTTCTGAAACCTGAGCGTGCATCAGAGTCAGTTGGAGGATTTGTTAAATTGCTAGGCCTTACCTAGAGTTTCTGACTGAGCAGGTCTGGAGTGGGGGCCTGAGAATTTGCATTTGTAACAAGTTCCCAGGCGATGCTGATGCTACTTGTCCAGGAACCGCACTTTGAGAATCGCTGTTATAATGATACGTAGACTCTTTCCCATTCCCGCATTCTCTGTATGCAATAGAGTCAATGCCAACAGATGAGAAATGAGCTAAGTGTTCTAATTGTTTTTTTTTTTTTTAGGCCAAGTGATGGTAGTAGCAATAATTCAACATGTAATATTGAGGTCGTAAATGCGCTGGATATTGAAGAAAGCATTTGGTCCCCTAGGTTTGGATTGAAGGGCAAAATAGATGTTACAGTTGGTGTGAAAATACATCGAGGGTGTAAAACGAAATATAAGATAATGCCACTGGAACTTAAAACTGGCAAAGAATCAAATTCTATTGAACACCGTAGTCAGGTAAATCTTAATAAGAAAATTGTCAGAATGTTTAATATATTTTAAAATGTAGTCTGCTTTATATATTTTGGTTTAATTCAGGTAATTTTTATTTGTTTCCTGTAGTACTTTTCAATTTGTGATACATCCAGAGTACTCAGTTTGTTTTATAAATGTATACATGGTTGCAGCAGAAAGTTTTCTCCAGCAAAGAAATACAACAGCTGAACCAGTGTTGCCAAATTTATGCTGCCAAACTAAACAGATGCTCCTAAAAAAGGAATTTCTTGGCGATGTACAGGGGGAAGGGAAAGCCAAGTATATTTGGAGATTTTATGATGCACATTACCCTGTTAAAGTTTCTGAAAAATCTTAAAGTAATACGATTTGTTTTAGCTGTGTTTAACCTAATGTTTCCTAAAGCTAATTTACCATGGAGCTATTTTTTTCACGTAACATCTACATAGGATACTCTTTAGGAAACATCAGTATAAATTTATTCTTTTATTTCCGACCTTTACTCTGATTTTATTGATGTTTACCTAAAATGAAATAAGGGCCGTGTCTTATCGTTATGTTAAATTCAAGTTTTTTATCATCTTTTCTTCTCTTTGATAAATATAATAATCTTGTGTTGTCCTTCAAAAGTATCTGAAATTTATATTCATTATAGTGACTTAAATCAAGGTATTTAACATAAAGTTCTATTTTGTTTTCTGAATATTTCCATTCCCTCTGCCCATTTCCACATTGGCAGTCTGATGTGTGTTCTAGACACTTTTTTTTTTT